GACCCTTGTTTTTGTTGAAGATGCCCATGAGGTTTTACTTTCACTATTCTAGATGCTCTAACCATTTTGTAAGGGTAATTGGGATGGTTTAAAAGTCTGCACTGATGCTGCCATGTGCCCTAAAACCTAAATCACTTTCTTTAATTGGTTTTGGAGACATCATACTACACTGTCTTTCTATCCTGTCTCACAAGGCTGGTTTTTCTGATAATTATTTGTTTATGGTGTGAGGAGAAATTTCATGTTTACTCCCTTCCCTAATACCCTGGCACACACTTATGAGATAATCTGTACTTGTTTAAAATGTTACCCTTGACATACAGTAAGTATATGCACATATAGAATATCCCTCATAAATTCCTTATGTTATTTGTACTTTAAATATTGATACATTTTGATGTAAACATTCTAGGCATATCTACTGAACTGCATTTTGTTATCATACTGCTAGAACTTCATTCTGCCATTCTGCTATAGGGCAGTTAGTTTATTATGAGATCAGAAATTAAATTAAACCAATGTGCTTGGTCATGTCATGTTGCTGTCTCAAACAATATGCTTTTGAATGTCATATATAGCTTGTTTCTTTTATGTCTAAACTTCACAAGATAGACATGTATATTGTGGGGAAGGCAGAGAAAAGGAAAAAACCAAACCAGATTACAGAAGAAATTTCTATTCCTTTGGCGTTTTCTAAGATAGTCTACAATATTTTGATAAAATGTTTAAACTTACTGTCTCTCTGTTTTGTAATTGGCTAAAATCACAGTACCATTGTAGCATTCTCACCTAATGGGTTCAAGGCTATGTATCACATCCTTGCATTACAGCATCCTCTGTGCCCGTTCACATATGTACTCATTCATTCAAAAACCATCTGTACCTCATAATGCAAGTGGAGACCAGGCCCTGAGGGTTTACTATCTAACAACAAAATCCATTTATTTAGTTTTCTAACCAAAATAATGTTTTCTCATTCAAGAGATGTACTTGTGCATCTGCTATTTATTTGGCATGCCTTCCCCCTCTCGATTACTCACTTCACAGTTTTGGTTTAGCAAATGCACTGGGTGAAATGAATAAAGATATGTAGACCAAAACAGTAGGAAGTGTTAATTGTCATCAACTAGCCAAGTTCTGAGTTTATAAGAGAAAGGTATAGTTTGATCCTCCAGCCACTTCGGGCTGGATCTTTCTAAGATGGCCACCTTCTGTTTCTAATAGACAAATTTCTTCGATCTATATGGAATAATTTAATTTATGAATAATTTATGTCACCAGAATTCAAATAAAATTGACAATGTTTGAGAACAAACTATTGACCATGCCCTTGTGTTATTTTATACTGTGTTTAAAAGTGAAATAAAATGTAATATTTTAACATAAACTCACAACCGTCAAACATGCACTCATTTTAAAAATGGACCAGCCATCAGGAAAAAAGATTAGGTAATGAAATTCCACTTTCTCACCCACTGTTTTCTGAATGTCCATTTACTTATTTATATGAATAAAGGCAACTACTTAAAACTGGCATTCTCAATGCCAATATAGAGTGGGAAATAAGGTAATCATTCCTTTTTGTTCTGAAATTCACCCCAAAAAACAATAAATGCAAGTTTTCATGGTCAAACGTATTCTCATTCATTGTCATCTAGCTTTCAATTCATAGCTTGATACATCAAATTGTTAGACGATGGAGAGAGAGATTTGAGAGGAACAGAAAGGAAGGAGGAAAAGAGATTCTTCAAAAGGATGAATCTGTGAAGGGCAAATGACTCAGAAAAATCTTCATACACTAAAAGTTAATTTTTACAAGTCCTTACCCATCTACCTTCTTGCATTTCTCTACTTGTGTCCTAATTATTCATTTTAAGATTTAATTGTCTATTTCTCTTCTGTCCCTCCCTGCCTTTCTCCCTCCCTTCCTCTTTACCCTTCTTTCCTTCCATCTTTATAATGGGTAAAAACTCCCACTGAAATGCTAGTTTGGGTCCTAAGCAAATCTTCTGCAACTCCACTGATCCCAGTATCCCTCCTGTACAAGACCATCTTCCATTCTAACGTCCTTCAGTTATGGCCAAATAGATGACTCTATACCTTTGAGCTCAAGTAAAACACGCTGTGACAATAAACTCAATTAGTTTATCTGGAATATCACGTGAGAATACACTGACCATATTACCGCCATATATTTTATTGCTTTGAAGTGGATTATCTTAGATCCTTAGTTATGTCTTGCTATTTAAAGTTAAGGCATGTGTAGAATAGAAGAACAAATGTAACAAAGTGTACGTTTGCATGAAAATAACTTTAAGATTTACAATTAATTATCATTGCTATAACTTCTAGAAAACACAGCAAGGAGGGCTAAAGGTGAGGGTACTAAAAAAAACAAATCCTGTCTCAACTGGACATCTATTATAGATTGAATATGAATACATGGAGGCAGCCAGTAATGTAGAGTGCATTTGAATAATTTTTAAAAGAGTTAAATGATCAAGTCCCTAAGGATACAGCATTTTTCTTTTTCTTTGCCCAGGAATCTGTTTTGGAAGCCAATTCAATGATTACTACTAGGACATGGAATTTTGATATCCATTTGGCACTGATTTACACCAGTATTTTTAAGGCTGCCAACAAGAAAGTCCAGAATTTCAGGCAGCCAAAATTCCACAAGAGACAACTGTCTTTTATTTTATAGCTTATGAATTTGGGACTTAATATGATTTTCCACTAACAAGTTCTGTACCCCCTCAGAGTGCTAAAGCCAGTGCACAGATCAGCAAAGTAACCGAGAACATATGAGGCAAGTTAATATTAAACTTGAAGGAAAAATGTACAAATTATATTGTTTACTTAGGAAAAAAAGCACTCTAGTTGAAAGGGCTGACATACGATTTATTGCGAACACTTAACCAGCGTGTTCACATTTTTACCCCCAATCCCACTTGTAGTACTTGTTTGGTGGCGTTGTGGCACTGGATACAAATTAATAAATCCATCAATTAAAAATCCATTAAATATTGGTAAAAAGCTCTATTACATGTCTTCTGTTTTTATGAAATGGCTGGAAAACATACAGAACACATCCATAATGGGTAAATAAATCACAGTAATAAATAACTTAGGGAATAGGTAGACGAATAACTCTTTTTAAGCATAAGTAAATGAAGAACCTGTTTAATTTAAAAACAACAAAATGTTCTTGGTTTCCGGAAATAATTCTATTGTGAAAAAACTTCCATATATAATTAAGAAAAAATAGTATAGGGTTTCTTTCTATGCTCAAAGCAATGTTTTCAAAAGAGTCAAAGAGATAATAAATACTGGAACACATAAATGATTAAAAGTGTGTGTGTGTTTTTTTTTTTTTTTACATAAGTCATGAAATCTTATTCCCCAGATGCCAAGAAGAAAAGGAGAAACATGTATCAGTCCCATAATATTTAAATTTTCCACTCCTAAAGGATTTTTCCTAGGATTTCAGGCTTATTCAAAAACCTTCATGTTTCATACAATTTGTAATGTAGCTTTATACATTTGTTCTCAATCTGAGTCAGCATAGATAGATAATAGAAAATATCAGCATAGGAAGCTGTAGGATTATTTCTCTACAAAATCAGGTATCAAACACTGCACCCTGCAATATTTTTTTAGTAAAGAGAAATTATGTCACAAAATTTCACAGATGAGGCCTATGGAGAAGAACACAAAGGAACTATTTCTGTAGTAGAAGCCCATCCTAACTACTAAGAAAGCTACACGATACCCTTTATATTTCACATTAGAATTTCTACACTGTTAGCCTAACACCTGGCCCTGGTGCTGACCATGGGAGGAGGACTTCTGAACCACCATCATCAGGATGCACTCCGCCTTCCTGAAAGGGATGAGAATCTGCAAGGGATTCCCAGGCTCATCAGAAAGAAGGCTAGAGCACTGTATTTGAGCACCATCTAGCACTGCTATATTTCTAAAACAGTAATTGTACAGAGTCATTTTAACCATGTGCCAAACTGCTCCATCTAATGACAATTAAAGCTGTACACAAGTGTGAGCGAATGGTAAAAAGACTTCTGACTTCTATTCTTAACTTTTATAGTAGAAACATTTCCATAAAAAACTTATTTTAAAAATATATTGCTAGATTATGAGATTTATCATTAGCTAATAACATGATTTTTTTTATCTACACAAACTTTAAAAACTGACATTGAGTGGATAAATTATTTCACACAAAAGTTACTGTACCTAGAAGAAAATAAAATGAAGAAATTGCTATAAATTAACCTTTGAAGTTTAACGTCTTTACCCATACCGACTTATAAGACAAGCCCTGAAAAAAAAGTCATTCTGTTTGTAAAGAAGGCCAAGATACTGTATCTCAGGTGGTAGCAAACCACACAAATATTGCAAGTATCAATCCTGGCCTTCTATCAGGAACGTGCATTTCTGGTTTATTTAATCAGGGATAATTATTTATATTACCTACCATTATAAATCTTATTTGTTTCTCCCTATTGGCACAGAGTTATGACAAATTTCATTCTGAAATTTTTATTAGTTTTCCAAAAGACTCCACATTGAAATTCAATTATGGCTAAACTCCACAGGTGTAGTGTAAGGGGAAAAATGGAGAAACGCTCCTCTAAATATATCAGATCCACCGACTGTTGCTTTATCTTAAAACGAAAGTTTATCCCTCTAGACTTCCCCTCTCTGTTATAATATGTTTTCACCTAAACTCATTCCCTATTTAGCCTTTACTAATTTGTTTTCGATATAGCAGTGACCAGCAGCAACGTGACCAGAGTACACTACACTTTGTTTCCATATAAACATTCAGGCAGTCAGTTAAGTTCACTGTGTCCTTTGGAAGTCTAATCATACAGACAACAGGTCTGACAGAATATACACTACTTGATATATACAAATGTGAGTCCTGAGAGCAACACATAAAGATTAAAAGAGGAAATAACTTTTCATTAAGGCTGGAAGAAATTTGAGAAACTTTAATGGGGAAGTTTTAAAAACTCTAACTAAATTATAGTACTTGCTTTTCGATAAAAATGAGCCCAATATCGAGTTGCTGGCTTGAAAATGTTTTGTTCATTCATTCATGACCAATGGTGAGCAGGTACTTGGCATCCCAGTTGTTTTATATTTGAACTTCATCTTCTGCTTTAAGTTCATGGCATGTACCACTGACGTGTGTTCCTAATAATTCTCCTTCTGACAACAGTGGAGACAAGGCAGGAGGCTGCATGGTCAATAGGGAAAGAGATGGAGAAAAACTGGGAGTCATGGCTTCTGGCAGAGAACCGAGATGGTAAGGGATGGGAGAGCGTGGGTGTTTTGGAGGTACCTGCCCCAGGGTTACTGCCGGCATTCTTGGTGGGACTGCTTTAATCCCAGGCTGGGCTACTGCTGTTATCAAAGGGGGTGGAAAAACAAAATATTTCTTCTCTTTTGGAATGCCAGGAATATGCAAATGTTCATCCTTTAGTTTTGCGATATCATTAAACACTGAGGCAAGAGGTTGAAACTTGGGTTCCCAACTGAGAAGATAATTCCAGTGATAGTTGCCTCTTCCATCATGATCAGAGGTTGTCTGAGTTGAAAGAGCTGCACACCTTACTTCCTGATCACCTGAAATAAAGACAGACTCTTTTCTAACATCAGCCAGGATGCTCTCTTTTGCTTCTCTCTTCTGAACTGTCTGGGGTAACACATTATTTTGAGCACAGGTGGTGCTGCAGCCTTCCCCTTGATCTCCTTCCCCAAATGTTTGATTGGCTTCTGCTGTTTCAGCAGTCACCATCACCTCGGTTTCCCCAGATAGGCAGGAGAGCTGGTCTGAGTCCCTCGGGATACCCGAGTCTGGCACCCTGGACTCGCGGTCACTCAGAGCTGAGTCTGAGCCCTTTCTGTAGGGATGCTCATTTATCCTCTGGATTTCCTTATCTTCTGCAGTTTCTCCTTCCACAGAACAGTGGCCACTGGAGTTTGAGGGTCTGTACCAATTGACAATGTCCTTCTCTATGATACTTATGAAACTCAACCATTCCGGTGTGGCATCCACAGGGACCACCTCATTACTGCAGTCATCAGTTTTCTGGAAGGCTTTGAGCACACTGGCATCCTGGGTCATTCTCAAGTTCATATCTAAAGATGAGGTTTTCTTCTCATCATAATTATTTATTGTGTCCTTTTGTTTATGTCTTAAAATCAGTACAAGTAGAATGCAGATGAGTATCAGAAACACTAAAAAGGAGACCACCAGGCTGATTGAAAAGCTGCTGGCGAATACTGCCAAGGGTGTTCCTTCAGAGGAGAAAGACACATTCACAAAAACAGTGCAGGATGCAAACTTGGAGTCTGGTTTAGGACTATGAGCGATTATTTTCATTTCCATGGTGTCTTCTTTGTTGAGGTGACTTTTTATTAAGGGAAGGGCTCTAATCAAATAAATATTTCCATTGGTTTTATTTACTGAAAAGAAAGGAGATGAAGTTCCAAGGGAGTAAAGAATGACTCCATCAATACCAGCGTCTGCATCTGAGGCTTCCACTCTGCCGATCAACTGTCTGTCTTTATTCTTTTCTGGGAGGGTGAAAAAGTACTGATCTTGAGTGAAAATAGGCTCAAATTCATCTATCCCTTCAATATCCACCCAGACCACCAAGGAGGCTGTTGCATCACCTTTGTCTTTGGCTTGGACTGTGAGGCAATATTTATTACCATTTTCATAGTCAAGGATTTGCTTAGCATGAATATCCCCTGTCAAAGGGTCAATGAGGAAGAGATCGTGATCATAAGACATTCCGTGAGTGAGAAAACAGGGTGATATAATAGAATAGGTCAATTCTCCATACGGACCTGCGTCAAAATCGAGAGCACTTATAGAGCATATGGTAGAGGAAATAGGCAGATTTTCTGGAACAATACAGTTGAAGCTTGAGAACATAAACTGAGGTGCATGGTCGTTATCGTCCAGGACATTGACAAACACAACTGCAAAAGAAAAGTGTTTCTTTTCTGCATCTGAAGCTTGGACAGTTAAGGTGAATTTTGCCATTTCTTCATAATCCAGAGGTTTAACCAAATAAAGAACTCCAGTGTTTTCTTCTAAGTAAAAATGTCCCTTCTCATTTCCAGAGATGATGTGGTAGATGATTTCTGCATGTGACCCTGTGTCACGGTCATTTGCTGAGACCACAGTGATGTGACTCCCTAGAGGGGTACTTTCCTTGACATGGGTGTGATAGCTCAGGCTGCTGAAGTTTGGAGGATTGTCATTGACATCAAGTACTTGTATTGATATGACAGCTGTGGAACTCAATGGAGGGCAGCCACTGTCAGATGCCAGAATGACAAGTTCATGGTTTGCACTTGTTTCTCTGTCCAGACTGTGAAGCAACACAAGATAACCAACTTGCTTATAAGGATATTCTGAATGAATGAAATTAGTTTCCACATGAAAATTGTTCTGTAAATTACCACTGATGATGGAATATTCAACATATGTGTTTTCATGGGTCCAGTCATGGTCGATGTTTGAAAATGTAACAAGCGTGCTTCCAATCAGAGCATCCTCACTTAGGCTAAGATTATAGGATTTGACTGTGAATTCAGGGGCATAATTGTTCATATCTTGTATTCCTATCTCCACTAATGTAAGAGATCTTAGGTCAGGATTTCCACCATCACTGGCTTCAACAAGAAATTGAGTTGTTGATATTTTATCCGGAAGCAATATGGGACTGATAGTAAATATTGTGCCTGAAAAATAAGACATAGCATTTCAACACTGTGAGATGCAGTTTTGATGATCCATTTAATCAGCAGTTGATTATTCAATGTCTACTAATATGTGTTTAATTCTTTGTTAGATTTGTTAAGTCACAACCAATGATGACTCCCAATAGAAACACAAATTATTCTATTTATATGTTTATAACATGTAAGATACAGAAATAATATTCATGACATTCACTCTGTGAAATATGTGTGCTGCTTGAGGTTGCTTCTGCCACAAATTTCTCTGAATTTTATTTTTTTATAGTAAGTTGTTCCACTATTCTTAAAAAAATATTTTTTTGTTTGTAAAATTTGTACCCCATTTTACTACCCACAAACACATGTATAGAGATATTCTGGGATACAGATACTTATTCTGGAAATAGTTGTTGATACTCAAGCCAAATGAAAGCAGTAAAAATGATAATGCTGAATTACTATTACACTATTGCTTAATTAGAGAGATGAGCTTTTCCTACAGATCATGCAAGTCGGTTTTTCCCTTACTGCTGAAATGTAATTAATAAAGTTTATTGTACTAAATACAGAAATATATAATTTTTATAAATATGTGTGTGAAAACATTTTTAAGATAAATATGTCTTAAGGATGGTCACTAAGAAAGAATACAGAATGCTGACATTTAAATGCCACGTTTTCAATTAGAGTCCCACCATGAGCTAAATTGGCCAGCATTCAATGTTTTAAAAATATTTGAATCAATAGCTTAGTGTGTTTAATGTTTTAAACATTGCATTTAATGTTTTTAACATTGCACTTAATGTTTTAAACATTGCATTTAATGTTTTAAATTAAACATTTAATGTTTTAAAAATATTTGAATCAATAGCTCAGTGTAAAATTTGTCAATAGCACGTCAAGTAAAAGTGTTGCTAAGGATTAAGTGCTCAGAAGGACTGCCTTGAACACTGATTTGCTGTGGCCAGGGTGGCAGTTGCCATCATCTGAGACTAGAGAAAGAGATAGAGACAGATAGACAGAGAGAGAGAGATGGAGAGAAAAGAGGGTGAGTGGTCGGGTGGGGATAGAGACTGAAGAATAGAAAAGCCAAATTCCTGATATGCTTGTATTCATGCAGTGATTGTTCATCCATAGGCAACATGATATATGACGTACTTCTCCATTTACGACACTTGGTGGGCTTCGTGCTGGTATTTTGGGACGAATTCCCCTTTCAGGTAATCCCAAGGTTAATTTTTAAATGAACTCTCACTTGTGAAATGACGCAATAGTGGACAGAGATGGGGAACACAGACTGTGATGCCTCCCAGGCCCTGTTATTTTCTAGTGTGCTCTGCTAGGGACATTGTTTTGCTAATTATTCATCTTTATAAAATTTAGCTTTTAATGTCCACTCACTGTTCAACTTTCTGTATATACTGTTTAATTGAATGTGGAATCACTTGCCTGAAGGCATTTCACAACCACAAATGTCTTGGTCTCTGATGAAAAGACAAAAAGCCTTGGGAAGCATCAAATAAACCAAAACACCACAGTGGTTTCTAGTTGGTAGAGATGCTTAAATAATTTTCCTTTTTAAATTATTCTTGTGTTTATTGAATATATAATGATATTACTGATTTTTTTTTAACTTGGCTTGGGAAAAAAAGCATCCAAACTCTAGTAATATGAAGTCTTCAGCACTAACTTAATCCGTTCAACATCATTTTGATTCTTGCTGAATCCTGGGATAATTGCCTGAACTGTGCTTGATTGGGCAGATGAAACTGGGTATTTATTATATTGGGGTCTCTGAATTTGTGAGCATTTACCAGCATTTAAAGAGTGACATTTACTTTCTAGCCACTGAGATGTTGGAGAAGAGAAATAACACTGGCATTTGCTACCACAACACTTGATGTGAAGAGTAATAAAACAGTTGTGCTTATAATTCCATGGGGGGTGGGGAACATTTTTAGAGGCATTTAGAAAGGGTTATTTCAGGTTTCTACTTTGAAACCCAAACGTATGAGCATGAATGCAGCTATAAATAACTCACCATTCTTAGGATCAATGGAGAATTCCTTAGAAGAGGATATAATTCTGTAAGAAATGTTCTCATTACTTTCTAAGTCTGTAGCTGACACAGTCAGCACTGAATAGCCCACAGGTATTGATTCAGGAACTGTGACCTGAGGGAAAAAGAGAAAAATAGGGACATTGTGCTTAAAGGCTGAAGGCCTCTGCCTCCCCAGTTCAAGTGATTCTCCTGCCTCAGCCTCTCGAGTAGCTGGGACTACACGTGCCTGTTACCATGCCAGGCTAATTTTTGTATTTTCAGTAGAGATGGGTTTCACCATGTTGGCCAGGCTGGTCTTGAACTCCTGATCTCAGGTGATCTGCCCGCCTCAGCCTCCCAAAGTGCTGGGATTACAGGCGTGAGCCACCACGCCTGGTCAGAAAAAAAATAAGTTTTAAAAATAATTTTATTCAGTTTTTTTTAACTACGAAAAAAAGTTCTTCTAAACTATTTCTATGCGGCAGAAGATAGTTAATACATTCACTAATATATTATTACATTACATGCATGGCATAATTCAAGCAAGCCTTCACAGGGGATCATTACTTAGGTTACCCTCCCCTTGTGTTTACACTTAAATTTTGCATTTGCTACCTTCAAAAGTTCTGGAGTCCATTTGTGAGTATTGAGTTGAATGCTATCCTGGCCCTTACTTCTACATATAGAACATATACTATGCTCTACAGGCTAAAATTTCCACTTTATAGTTTTCTTCGTAATTTTTTTTCTGTAAAATTTTAATCAATGCATTCCAAAAATATGCCTATGAAAGAAAGAATTTTCCCAAATTAACTGCAGATAATGCAAACAATCTTATCAGTGGTTTTTGCAAATATTAGGCAGGTTCAAATTGTCATGACAAACTGGACTACAACCTCTAAAAACTAAAAAAAAAAAACAAAACAAAACAAAACAAAAAAAAACATATGTAGTAAACTAAACCGAATGAGACATTCATTTCCATATGTTCTTATAGACTCCATGATATTAAGTGCAAAACCCACAGCATTAACTTAGGGACTAAAAACAGTAAATGCTGTCTATCGGCGATGGAAGACTTACATCATTCTCTATTCTTTCTAGTTTTGGCTGTGGTTTCATCTCTTTAAGCCCTTTACCTGATAGAAATCTCGAGAAAACACTGGTGGATTATCATTGACATCCAGCACATGGACTACGAGTGCTCCCTCTGTGCGGTGCACCGAATCAGAAATTTGGATGAGCAGCTTATATTCAGTCACTTCTTCAAAATCCAATGTTTTCACCAACACCACCACTCCAGTGTTCTGATCAATAGCAAACTTGGTTCCAGGATTACTCTCTTTGGCAAAACTGAATATGAAAGCTGAATTCAAATCCACATCGTGAACTGACACATGAGTCACAACTACACCAGGCAAAGAATCTGAAATAGTCATGACCAGTGTCAGTCTCCATTAAAATTCATCCTTTGAAATACATTTCTTTACTAGTTCCATCCAAGTATTTTTATTCCAAGTCCAACATGATTTGCTCTTTCTTGGCCTGATTTCTCATACAAAGCTCATTATGCACTGAACAAAAACTCTGAAGAATTTATGAGACCAATAAAAGTGAAAATTTACCACTGAGTAGGGAATTGAGGAGGTAGGGTATATTCAGTTTTTATATGACATTATTTTCATTATATGCTTACAACACAATTCCAGTACCAAGAAACATCCTAAGCCACTTATTTATAATATACAGTTTCTGTATCAAAATCATATCTTTATGGGGGATATGAATGGGATGAAGGGTATTACTCAGGACATTAATACAAAACATGGCATTTTCAAAAGTAGGCCAGATTTAAATATTTGGGCACTAATGTTCAAATTAGATATTTATTTATATTTGTTTTTGTACAATTGTTTATTTTGGAGTGGTGCACACACTGCTTCCTTTTATTAAATCTGACTCTCAAAATTATTAAAACGATAGAAAAACAAAGTCTACATAGTACTAGTGAGTAAAGCAAATCTCAAATATTATTCACCAAAAAATTACAAAAGAGATCACATGTTCAGTGCCTCACTCACCACATACATTCTCTAGCCTAAACAGCCTGTGAAAAGGACTTTGTTTTTAAGCTTACAGATATGTACAGCTAGAAAGAATATGCCAAGATGCTCAGAATAGTTCCATTGTATATGAAACCCATAATTTTCCATTTTCAAGCTTGAACACTCTTGATGTGCACCAACCACACCATACCCTATTCAGTATGTTTTGATTTATGTAGTTTCTTCTTGTGATATACTTATATTAGGCCCATTGCTATATTTTAACACTAATTGCGTGTGCTGAAAAACAGAACCTTCAATAAAATCAAATGAAAATATATCAAATATGCAAGAGGCAAAACTGGAGAATTTATTTGATTTGTAGGCTATTGATAAGATTTGTAGATATCTCTATGCATAGACATTTCTGGAATATTTCCCTCTGTGAGAGTGATGGTTGTAATCTGTTTAGAAAGTGAGCATAATAAAATATTAGAAACATTTTAGGAATTAATTTAGTATTAAGAGTGAAGTAGAGAGGCAAGCAAGGGGCCACCATTATTTTCAACTTCAACTATAAAGACTTAGGTCGTGTTTCACCAGCGCAGCTATTGACTGTGGACAACTTTGGGTCCACAGACTATGGGATCATTGTACAACCCACAGACCCAAATAGTGAAGATTAACCAGCACCTCACTTAAAAATTTCTAGTTTCAACCTCTACCATCAGTGTGGTACAAATGTTGAAGATAAGGTTATTCTGGGAAAAATGATGGCTTTTTGCAATAAACATCTAATTCACTAATTAGTTGTTATTAGTATCCTGAGAAGACTGACAGAGCTATGAATGTTGATTCTTCTTAGAGGAGGTTCACAATGGTTATCACAGCCAACAAAATATGCTTCTTCATAGAGTGGATATAATTTGTAAGAAATGTCTGCATTATAAACAGATACTATAAGGGATGATGGGTGGAGCATGGGGACTTGGCCTCCAGATGATCTGAGTACAAATCTCAGCTTTAACATTTTACTCCTTTGACATTTAATATTTAACTTACGATCACCCATTTTCTATTTTGCAAAATGAAGACAAAAATGATCTAGTTTGCATGGTTGTTGAGGATTAGCACTCATGTTAATACAGTGTCTGGCTAAAGAAAATAGTAAAAAATATTATACAAGTTAATCAAAACCACTATGCCAAATTGTCACACTTACCTTCTGCAATTTCTACTGCCTCAGAGGGGAGAAAAGCTGGGGCATTATCATTTATATCAGTCACCTGTACCTTGATTATAGTCGTATTAGAAAGCCTGGGCATCCCTTTATCTGTGGCTTGGACAATCAAGCTGGTTTAGAAAAAGAATCAAAGAATGTGATTCATCATCCAGGAATTAGAAAAACAACATAAATATCAAATATCTAGTTGAAAATTTTAAAATGAGCTGACTAGCTACTTTTATTTCTCTCTTGGATTTTCTAAATGGCGTCATTTAAAATGTATTTCATAAGAATGGCACCCTGAAATTTATTTGTTTTTGGCATGTTCAGAGAACCAAATCCAGCAAGCTGCCAGAGATCATGAGGCATTAAAGTCAAAATGGACCATTTCGGAGAGCCAGACTGTAAAATTCAATCCTGTCCTGCAATGAATAATCTAAAAAAATAGAAACACCAATACCTGTACTTTGGATGAGTAGACTGTCTCCACCCTGCCATGTCATGGTCTGGATACTACTACATATTTCCATCTCACTGAACCAACGAAAGATGTAGCCACTAAAAGATGCTTTGTACTGATACTTTTGGATCCAAATAGCAAATCCATCGAAATGCTAGAATTCAGACAGGACGCCGCTATGATGAACACACTTACAGAAGATGCATGATTGGCTAGGATTGTAAAGTAGAGGTAAAAGTCCATGATCTGAAAGAATTTACATAGACTGATTTAATCTCTCTTGGATGATGCTACATTGAGCTTCTCCATCAAACAAACTACAAACCTTATTACTGTCTTCAACTTCTCCCGTTCTCTCACTACCCTTCCAACGTCCAACTAATTATGTCTCTTATCGGTATTACCTCCTGGATGTCACTTGAATTAGTGTTCCCAGCCATTTCATTCCTACCTTCAGAGTGCTCATGTATGGTAATCACATTTCGCTTTGTCTTGGAGTGAAGAATTTCCTGGGACATGACCTTGCAGTGTTTTTAAAACCAAGATACTCCAGGCAAACTGGACATGGGACTTTCAGTGCTACATCCACTAAAGTCCCAGGCAAACCTGGACAAGCCAGTCCCCTGTAGCCTCAGCCCCTCACCATTTTTACCTGGAATGCTCTATATTTATTGTATCCTTTCTTACCAGGAATACCTGATAAATTACGAACCTCCCTACTGTGAGTCACCTCTTGTTCCATCCACCCTCTATATTGCACTCAGTTGCTCTAACTAAAATCCTAATTTGAAAACCTGACCTCCCTATTTAAAACGCTTCTTTTGCTCTCCATGTCTCTAAGCAGTTATCCAACCCCTGAACATGTTCACATAAACTTTTTTGTCCTTGCTTTTACATGGAATCCTAGCCCTTACACTTTCTTGGTTTTCAAAGCTCACATCTCTGGGAATTTTTCATGGACCTTTCATTCGATTTAAATGCACCTTTATGTATTCCCATAGTGCCCTGTATATTCTTCTGCCATAGCAATCATCACTCTTTTTTCTTCATAACATATTTGTCTGCCTCTTCTGTAAGTTTATTAAGGGCAGGGAGCTGCCTTATTTGCTTTTCTTTAGTAAGTATTGAATGTTGGTTTCTCAATATTTCCCCAGGGTTATACACATATTACATGACAGAGCTGGGATTCAGGCTCATGTGTTGGTCAACTGGAAACCTATGCTTCATGATACTTGTTGAACATACCTCTCTTACTGTGTATACATCATATTCTAATGTATAATTATTGGCTTATTTTTCACTCCCCTCTAAACACGATGAAGGCTAGGAGGGCGACTGAGTAATAAAATGAGTTATTAGTGAGAAGATGCTCTTTATTTCAGAAGTGGAATTAGTCTTAGCCAGTTGTGGGGGCTACCTTTTAAGAAACTAAGTCTTGAAAGTTGATACACTTTCACTTTGTTTTCATTGTTAGCTCACTTGATAAATGTTCTTTCTCTTTCCAATCCTAAATTTAAAAATGACATAAAATAAACATCGACTCTGTCTTGGTTTGCATTCCACTTAATATTAAATGATCAGTGCTTAAATCTACTATTCATGAAGAACACAGACTGCCTTCTGCATTATCAGAGTTGGAATATTAGTAGAATAACCACCTGAATATCACACTTATGGAGCCTAACTTCTGGAATAATTATATGTGGAAAGTTTATTTTGTTAGTATGAATGTCAGTCAGATACATATGGAAATATTTTAACAAAAATAATCAACTCATACTGCTCTCTCCCCTGTTGCTTGCACCTCTCAATGTCATCTAAAGTCTCAGCCAAGACATCAAAGTTAAGTTTCTATCAACTCTTCTACTGTAGCCATAATTACCATTATTTTCACAATGTTACAACTTCAGGCATCCTACATAATGTCTTGTCAGATTAAAAAGAAGTGAGATTCTTTGACATGGAGAGAAATATGTTGCTTAGCATGAAACTAAATGGGAAAGGAAAAGGTTTCTCAATGACTTGAAGAAAAAATAAAAAATATGAAGGTAGATGCGCAGCTATTCTGTACACAACCTATGCAAGACTTCAAGTCATCTATGATGGCTCTTTTGCAGTTGTGAAACTGTTGGTTGTAGCCAGTCCAACTCACTCCATGTTCCACAACTGTTGCCCTGATTACTATTGCATTTTTTTCCTATTCTATCAACCATGAGAAGCTTCTTTTACCATGTTAAACTTTAAATAAGGCCTTTGACCAGGAAGGATCTTTTTGATTGTCTTAACAAGTACTAAACTTGTTGGTAGAGGGTTTTTCAAAACTCTCAATTGTATCTTAAATGTCTAGCAAGAATTTTCTATTCCTTCTGAAATTCTGAAAAGAATTAAAATATCAGCCACTAACAGAAATAAATACGAAAAGAAAAACTATGATTTCTGGTTAAAGATTGCAAGCTGACTACACAGGTTTTATCTTCTCTTCCTCTCAAGATTCTTCTAAAACGATATAAAAAATCTTTTATAATAAGTTATGGGATCCGCACCAAGACGGCCGAATAGGAACAGCTCCAGCCTCCAGCTCCCAGAGTGAGCAATGCAGAAGATGGGTGATTTCTGCATTTCCAACTGAGGTACCAGGTTCATCTCACTGGGGCATGTCGGACAGTGGGGGCAGGACAGTGGGTGCAGCCCAACGAGTGAGAGCCAAAGCAGGGCAAGGCATCGCCTCACCCGGGAAGTGCAAGGGGGAAGGGAATTCCTTTTCCAAGCCAAGGGAAACTGTGACACACAACACCTGGAAAATCGGGTCACTCCCACCCTAATACTGTGCTTTACTGAGGGTCTTAGCAAACAGCACACCAGGAGATTATATCCTGCACTTGGCTCAGAGGGTCCCAGGCCCATGGAGCCTCCCTCATTGCTAGCACAGCAGTCTGATATCTAACTGCAAGGTGGGAGCGAGGCTGGGGGAGGGGTGCCTGCCATTGCTGAGGCTTAAGTAGGTAAAGCAGCTGGGAAGCTCGAACTGGGTGGAGCCCACCACAGCTCAAGGAGGCCTGCCTGCCTCTGTAGATTCCACCTCTTGGGATAGGGCATAGCCAAACAAAAGGCAGCAGAAACCTCTGCAGATGTAAATGTCCCTGTCTGACAGCTTTGAAGAGAGTAGTGGTTTTCCCGGCACGGAGTTTGAGATCTGAGAATGGACAGATTGTCTGCTCAAGTGGGTCCCTGTCCCCCGAGTAGCCTAACTGGGAGACATCCCCCATTAGGGGCAGACTGACACCTCACACCTCACATGGCTGGGTACACCTCTGAGACAAAGCTTCCAGAGGAATGATCAGACAGCAACATTTGCTGTTCAGCAATATTCACTCTTCTGCAGCCTCCACTGCTGATACCCTGGCAAACAGGGTCTGGAGTGGACCTTGAGCAAACTCCAACAGACCTGCAGCTGAGGGTCCTGACTGTTAGAAGGAAAAATAACAAACAGAAAGGACATCCACACCAAAACCCCAACTGTACATCACCATCATCAAAGACCAAAGGTAGATAAAACCACAAAGATGGGGAAAAAGCAGTGCAGAAAAACTGGAAATTCTAAAAACCAGAGCACCTCTCCCCCTCCAAAGGAATGCAGCTCCTCGCCAGCAACGGAACAAAGCAGGACAGAGAATGACTTTGATGAGTTGAGAGAAGAAGACTTCAGACAATCAAACTTCTCTGAGCTAAAGGAGGAATTATGAACCCAGCACAAAGAAACTAAAAACCTTGAAAAAAGATTTGATGAATGGCTAACTAGAATAATCAATGCAGAGAAGTCCATAAATGAACTGTTAGAGCTGAAAACCATGACATGAGAACTACGTGACAAATGTACAAGCTTCAGTAACTGACTCAATCAACTGGAAGAAAGGGTATCAGTGATTAAGGATCAAATGAATGAAATGAAGTGAGAGGTTTAGAGAAAAAGGAGTAAAAAGAAATGAACAAAGCCTGCAAGAAATATGGGACTATGTGAAAAGACCAAATCTATGTCTGATTGGTTTACCTGAAAGTGACAGGGAGAATGGAACCAAGTTGGAAAACACTTTGCAGGATATTATCTAGGAGAACTTCCCCAACCTAGCAAGGCAGGCCAACATTCAAATTCAGGAAACACAGAGAATGCCACAAAGATACTCC